CCCGCTTCAACCCCCCGCGCGGCGGTCGGGGCGCCGCCATCTTGCCGTCGCCGTCGCGTCGCTGCCGCCCGCTTCCGCCGGCGGGAAGGCGGGTTCTGCCGGCGCCATTTTGATGCGCGTCTCTACCCCGCCCCCGTCACCTGAGGGAAGAGGGGGACGGGAGGCTGTTATTGTGCTGCCCAGCGTCATTCCCTGCCGTGGCTTTCCTTATTTTTTAGTTTGTTTGTCTGTTTTAAGTGGTTGTTGTTTTGGGTTATTTTTGAGCTCGCACCAGCTTGGGTTCGAGGTGACTCTAGAGGTAGTGCTGGCTTTGTGTTAGGGAGGCGGGCCCCAAGTCTCTCCAGGCTCTCACAGAATCACAGAATCACTAAGGCTGGAAAAGACCTATAAAATCATCCAGTCCAACCACCAACCCAACACTACCGTACCCACTAGACCATGTCCTCAAACGCCACATCTACATGTTCCTTGAACACCTCCGGGGATGGTGACCCCACCACTTCCCTGGGCAGCCTGTTCCAGCGCCTGACCGCACTTCCAGTGAAGAAGCTTTTCCTAATACCTAATCTAAACCTCCCCCAATGCAACTTGAGGCCATTTCCTCTTGTCCTGTCACCAGTTACCCGGGAGAACAGGCCAGCACCCACCTCCCTACAACCTCCTTTCAGGGAGCTGAAGAGAGCCATCAGGTCTCCCCTCAGCCTCTTCTTTAGGCTAAACAACCCAGCTCTCCAGTGAGAGGAAGAACAAGGGGTGGGTTAACAGACTGTGGGGTGGAGAGGATCCTCTGGATGGGTTCGGGGGTGAATCCTGCTCCAGGTGCCTTTCAGGCCAGCTGTGGGGTGCAGGGAAAGGGCTTGTTTCAAATCTGCCTGTTTCACATCTGCATCTGCCAGGGATGCTGAGGTCTGTGCACATTCCTTCACTGGTGCAGGTAATTAGGCAGGTGAATATTTGAAGCAGCATGTTACCAGGCTGTAAACTTACACTTCTCAGTCCCGTTCAGATGCTTTCCATTTTTGTTTTAATGTCACTTGCTTTTGGCAGGTCTTGGGCAGCTTGTAGGCTGCTCAGAGATCACTTTTCCCATCATCTTTCTTAGCATGCCTTATTTTTTAGTGTCTTCCACCTGCCTTTGGTGGAAGGTAGCCTAGAGGTGCCCTTTGAGGGAGGTGCAACAGATAGCTGGGACTTCAGTTACTAGCAAACCATTTGTTGTAGATGGTAATGCTGTATGAAGAACATACTTGAGGTTGAGTTGAACTGTACTCGATAGCAAAGGTCATGCATAGAATTTCCCCAAGTCTTTTTTTGTTTTCTTTTTGTCATTCCAACTCTTAAAAAAAAATCCAGGAAACAAAACTAATGAAGTGAGATAAAATCCCTTGGGAGTCATGTGCATTGATGAACATTCATGCTGTTCTATTCCACCAACAGTGTTCATGCAAGATGTTCTGTATATTTTTCTCAGTTTCTAGCTGAAATGTGGTATAAAATACAGATTGTAAAATAAATAGCAAAAGCAATGTAAAATAAAATGTGATTTTCCTGTCTCAGGATGTCTTCCACCATCTTCCTCGTGTTTGTTACACTTGCTTCTTGTCACAGTGCAGTTTGAAAATGTATGTCCCTCTGGGACTGTGGGACTAGGCCTTTTACTTGTTTGTGTTTTGGTGGTATCACAATCTCCTTAGCCGATAAAACGGACAAGCAGACCAGAAAATGAATGCAAATCTCTTTCTGTGGCAGATCTAAGCACTCAACTCCGGGACTTTCCGAAGAAGTGGGAATGAAGGCAGGGCTTCTGTCCAGACTCTTGTGCTCTATGCCAAGCAATGAAAACAGGGCCATCCCAGTTATTCAGGGAACAGCTTGAGTAAGAACGCTTGTCGGAAGAGACCTCTTCCTTTCTTGATGCGTTATGCTATATACCAATTTCTAGAGGCAGAGTGATCTTTAGCTTGTCCAAATGCTTAAACATAAGAGCCAAAAAAAAACCCCTTACTGCCATCCAGTTTAGGGATAACTTCCTTATTAGGAGAAAGAACATTGTTAGGTACAGTGGTGTAGCGATGTCACATTCTATGAGTGGGTGTTTTTTTTTTTTTTCCTTGATATAGAGAGTTTTATCCTAGTGGAAGGAGTTTGGCTTGAACAACCTGACAGGAGAGTTTATTCAATGGCTTAAATTAAATGCAATTTCTTCTGCTGGCTTCCTTGCCTTTTGTGATGGGGAAAACTAAGGGGGTGACTCTCTTCGTGGGATAGAAACCAAGGGTTGGTAGGCACAGTGCTGGCTCTTCATGTTGGGGATATGTGAACAGAGCGTTAGGGTCTGTTCAAGGTTTCTCCATGTCCTAGGACTTTTGAAGAATATACTTAAGCAGCACTATGGCTTTGGTTGGCTGATAGTTCAGCAGCGTGGTGATAGTTCAGATGCAGTAAGTAGTCCACTTGCTCACCTCACCTTCAAACAAATGCCGTCTCTAGAAGAATTCAAGTGACACATGATTTAATGCACAGAAGGAAAATAGTTGCTTTCTTAAAACGCTGCAGTCTCTGGGTTGAGCAAATTCTTTCTCCCAAGATGTTTTCTTTGTCTTCTGAGTATTTCCTACAACTGTTAGCAGTGCAGACCATCGCGTCCCAAGGAGACAAACAAAGCATGTGCCAATTTGAGTTGAAGCCCACCATTTCTTTCCAAGTTTGGAAATTTGACATATTTCTGATTTTTTGCAGATAATTCTTGAATGTGTTTATTTCATCAAGCCCTTGTATTCAGGGGAAAAGAAAAATAGCCCTGAATACTATGTCTGTATACACGAGAGAGAAAAGAAAATGATTTTCTTTCTGTATGCTGGTTCGGCCGTGGTCTGTGATTTGTCAGCACTGTGGAGGGTCATCCAGTTCAGATAGAACTGGACGTTTCCAAGGAACGGAACAGGATGTCACCAGCCATTGAAGAATGACTTCTTTTCCTTTTGAATTAAAATAAAACCTGGGCTCCCAAGTGTGGGTCTGGTGAGGGGCAAGAAAATGCCCTATTTTAGATGAGAAACGTATGTCCTAATTGCTTACGGCCTCTGGAGATTTTAGGGGACTGTTCTCAAAGAAATGGTATTCCCTTGTTTGAACTGCTTTGGGATTAGGCATTGTAGATGTTCTGTAAGGCTCTGTTTTTCCTTTCATACTAATTTGTGTTCTGTTCTTGTCTGAAAAATGGGGTATATTTTGCAATATTTCTTATTTCCTAAAACGTATTACTATTTTCTGCTTCCAACTACAAAGAAACTTTTCTGGTCCTGTGGGCCTTTTCTGCTCCATTGGATGCTAATGGATGACACGTATAACTGCTCCAGAGCCTTACCCATGCAAATAGCTTATGAAGGCTGAGGCTGTTCCAACCAAACATGATTAAAAGTCATAGAAATCGAGATGGAAAAAGCTATTAGGTCACGAAGTTCCCACACGCACCCCCCGGACCAGTACAGGTTTGTTTCCAATGGTACATTTTTTGGTGTTTTCCAGAAGGGGTCAGTGCAGGTCAGTGTTCACTTTGCATCCAACAGCCCGCCTCCCTTCCCCCTTCATGAAAAATTAGGAAGCCTTCTGAATCTGGTGACGAGTACATTGCAAAATGTCTAGAATTTTTATTATGGCTTGTAATCTGATATTGGGTGATCGAAAGCAAAAGAGCGGTGTTCAAGCCCAAAAATGGATCATCCAAGATTTTACATGAGGAAACCTAGTGAGCTCTTCAGAATGACTCGTTAGCTATGTATGTGTATTAAATGTTACAGACCCTGAGAACTGTTCTGGGGGTGCTTGGTTGTAACGAGGAGACAGATTCATAGGTTTATCATCTTGGGTAGTCCATACTTAGAAAGAGCATATTGCTATAATATTTTATATTTACATTAAAAAAAAATCTGGATAATTAAAATTTCTGATTGTAAAGAATCAAAAGTGAAAAAAAAAAAAACCAAAACCCAAACCCCTTAAGTCTGACTAAGAGAAGACAGTAACTCACGATCACGTTGCACCAAAACCGCAGTTCATCCTACTCAACCACTGCGACACGCAAACCTTTCTGAAGATTGCCCAGTGTCACGGGCTTCGTTCCAGGTATGCGCATCAGGTGTCCTGGCTGAGAGGGGCCACATGCTCCTCTGCATGTGCCCATTCCACACAACAACAGCTTCCCCCAGCTGCCTGTGTCCCTAAAAGCGTGACAACAGGCTTCAGAGGGTGACGGAGAATGATGTTGAGACAGAAATTAATAACTCAAAGCGCGGAGGAGGATGAAAAGGTGGCTGGAGATGGGAAGAAGGAGATGCTGCAAGGAGTGCGGGGAGGGATGGCAGTCTGGTGGGAGAACGAGCGATTCACTTGAAAATAACTTGTTTATGTCTTTAAGGTTTTCTTATTTTCCCAGTGGATATGGTTATTTTTCAAAGTAAAATAACCAAGTAATAATTTTATTACTTTTCTTTCCAAGATTTCAAGCTAAGTGTAAACAAGAAAAATCCAGTGGGAAAATTAATCCAACTTCCTTTTTCAAGAGCACTTCAGTTTCTCCCCCTGCCCCTCTCCTTATATATTTTCACTGCTACTGTTCTTGTACCCAGTATCTGCAGCATTGATGACACCAGCTGAAATACCTCAGTGGTGGCATTTGTTAGAGGGAGAAACCTTTAGGATCACTGAAAATCACTTCTGATACAGAAATGATAAGTTTTCAGTGTTTAAAAATATTAATGACTTTTGACATTTTGGGAACGTTCCATACGGGCAAGTCAAAATGATGGAAAACAACTGAACTACTTGCACTGAGATTTGATCTCTGGCAGTTAATATTTGGGCTGCATGAGAGAAGCATAAGGAACAAAAACTCTGTAACAACACCATGGCAATCAGACCGGCAAACTTCCAAAGCTTTAATTTTTC